CGCAGGCCTGCCCCGGCTGTCGCTGTGGCTGGGCCACGCTCTCAGTGGCCCTGGCCGTGGGCCCACAGATCAGAGTCCCAGGGCTGCACATGGCCGAGTCTCAGCCCAGGGCACCAGGGTCTGATCCAATGAGCAAGGCTCTGCGATCCGGTGCCGGTTCGCTGTGGGCCTGAACTACCGGCTCCTGTCTTTGAGAAATTATTCCCGGGAGTTTCCCAGATACCTGTTTCCCGGTTCAGGGTGACATCGGGTGCTCTGAGCCCCACACAGCCTTCGATGGTGGATCCCGGGTGGGTAATCCCAGCAAACAGCGCCCAGGTTGACAGTGGGGTTTGCAGAGTGATGTGCGCACTTTATACTCAAGGACGGAGGGCATTCGCTGCTGCAGCTGCTCTAGACCCTCTGGAAGGTCTGGACATCCTGGCTCCCAGAACCCGCGCAGAAGGCGGGAGGAAAGCGACCAGGGTCCGTGTCTTCGCTTAGCAGGCTGCCCTTGATGATGCCCCTTTCACCTGGCTGTGACACTGTCACTCATTTGCTTGGATTCCTAATGACTAACAGGACACAGGGGTCCTGTGTCCTCAGTGTCACAGTTAAAAGAAATAAGGAAAAGCCCTGTTGCCATCTTACTTTCCACTCGTACCATGTGAGGGGAGGTCATTCATTTATCCAGCCAAAGTGTGGAGCACACACACATCCTGACACGAGGAGAGCCCCACTATGTAGAGTGATATCACAGCTGAGGCAGCACTCTGACAGGGACCTAGGTGGGGGCTTTGCAAACTCTTTTTGGTTGTTTTTTGACCCTGGGTCTTGCTATGTAACCCAGGCTGGCCTTGAATGCATGGGGATCCTCCTGCCTCAGCCTTCTAAGTGCTGGGTTAACAGGTATATACCAACAGGACAAGTGCTGCAAACATTTTTGCCTGTTAAGCAACCATGATTATTTTGCCAGAAAATCTATAGGATAGAGACACGTATTCTTTCCAGCTATTCCTCAGGACATCTTGCCCACCACTCTACAAAGAGCTGTTAAGAACCCGTGCCCGACAAACTGTGCAGCATGCACAAAAGGATATTGAGATTTATTGCAAGACCAGAGATTATTAGAAATTAAATTTTGAAGGCTGATTTCACTTTTCTGACGCTGTCATATAGCAAGTTGATTTTTAGTGGCTTGTAATCAGGTACATATACATGTCCTTTTGTTCAAACATCTGGGCTGAAGGCATTTTGAAAATGAGAAATTTTTGAATTTCAGGTGTGTAATAAGGCGATTATCACAGTCTGCTTATGTGGATCTGTAATGCAAATTGTTAGCGATTCTGTTACAATGTGTGTGCATGTTTATATGGAGCAGTTACAGATGCAGCACATAAATAGTCTCACATATAAATAGGAATTGGTACAACTAAGATTACTGGGTGCCGTTAAGCTGCATGAATTGTGCAGTAATAAATGCTTTATAAGCTCAAAGGAGGAGAGTTCATTCTTGTTTAGGCAGTGAAAAGCTCAATGCGTAGATGAGTTCGAGTAGATCCAGCAGGACTGGGGTGTCTCGATGCCCCAAACTGTGCTAGTACAGGTACACCAATATGGCACAACAGCTTCAAAGGTGTTTGAGTTTTCTGTAAGAAAAAGAAGCCGGTCTACGGCCATACCACCCTGAACATGCCCGATCTCATCTGATCTTGGAAGCTAAGCAGTGTCGGCCCTCGTTAGTACTTGGATGGGAAAAAGAAGCTAAATTGCTCTCTAATCCCACCAATATTAATTCATAATATTAGCTAACATTTTGTGTTTTTTATGTCTTTGCAAAATTGAAGAATTGACTGGTGTTCAAAAAGGAGCAGTGGTTATTTCTTTCTGTGTTTTGAATAAAGACGTGATTTTTTTTTTTCTATTACTTACAGAAAAACTAACTCTATCACTGTTGGATGCAGTATGGGACTATCTTTTATGGGGACATCTAAGACAGTTTCCCAGTAATTTTCACAGAATATTCTCTGAGAATGTTTAGATCGATGATTCTCTTTACTGGCTGTACTGTGGGAAGGAAGTCGGGGTGGCAGAATGGGTCTTTGAACCCACACTGGGGCTGGTTCTCATCTCCAGCCACAGCCTGGACACAGGGGTTTTTAAGGTCAATGACATTTACTAATAAAAACACTGGTTTTAATGAAGTAACTGTGGGTTAGTTTTGAGGATAAATGAAGTCAGTACGTTCTTTGGTATATTTTGGAATAAGAGTGAAAATCTAAAGTACAAAAGTAAAATAAAATTTGCATATCACTTAGTGTTTTGTTAAAAAGATGCTTTTAAACCAAAATATAATCATCGTCTCATTTTGTATTCATTTTATTAGAATATACATTTTTGCCAAAGATTATGAGTGTTATGATCCATGTACGCATACAGATTTATCATTAAAACCTGGAAACTGCTCTCCTCCCATATCATTTCCATATTTGGCACCCAGTCAAAGCTGTGAAAGGAGGCAGCTTCTGCGATCTGCTCCATCTCCACCTAATGAGCCCTGAGCTGCAGAGAATATTAGTTCCAGAGGAGATGATGGCCCCAAGCTTGACCCTGTGAAGCTGAAACTCCAGCAGCTGGCCCCACTTCTTGCAGCTGAGGGCAGCGATGCCCGGGCCCACGTAGGCCGTTGCCAAGCTGCTGTCTTTGCTTTTGAGGCTCTGAGGGTCCATGAACTGGCTTGAGACTGAGGAAGACAGTTAGAATCAGGCTTTCTAGTCTAGGGTAGATGCATTCAAGAGTGGGAACTACAATATGGACACAGCACCCGACTACTTGCCCCCATGCAAGATAAGATTATCTTGTTTGATAAAAACTCTGATGTGTGCCATGCTTGTTGGCATGTAATATCAGATATTGATTGATAAAACTGACTCTGAAATGATTTTAGGGTCCAGTTTAGAAAACAATAAATTGTGCTTCATGAATCCGCGTTCAAAGCTGGGTACAGCATATACCTGTAATGCCAGCCCTCGGGAGGCTGAAGCAGGAGGATCATCACGAGTTTGAAACCAGCCTGAGCTACAAAGTGAGCCCAAGTCCAGCTTGAATGCATAGTGAGACCTTGTCTCAAAAAGCCAGAAAAAAATGTCCCTCATTCAGATTGTAAGCACTTGATATCTTTTCTATTTCCATCAAAAACAATAGGTGGCTATAAATCCTCAGAAATTGATAAGGATGCAAGGAAACTTTGGAAGTAAGACCCAATTGCTTGAGAAAAATGGTTAGAGAGCCTTTCAAATCCAGGTCAAGTGCACATTCATAGCTTTTATTTGCATCTCTAAGCCATAGAGAATGATAGCATGGCCGGCAACTGGGATATTTGGCCATAGTTGAGCTCTATTTCTACATAATTGTAGATGACTCAGTCTCTTAATGAGACTTTTAAGATACATATTGTCTCTCTGAGTAGAAATAGCACCCCTGTGTTTAGTCCAATCTATCTCAAACTTCTGATCTGATAAAATCACTGGAGTGACTGAAGTAACTGTCATGTCTTGGATAAAATATCACTTGGCAAGTATGTATTTTTATATTGGTTATTGAACCTAAAAAGAAAAGTTATGTGAAAGCTCAGAGAGTGGATTAACCTGTCATGAGTGTCTCAGACCTCTGCCTTTTCATCCAACAATGACCCTGTGTTCATGGTTTTTCACTGGCAAGCCTCCTCATGGAGATAAGAACACAGAAGGGGCTGCTAACTGCGTAGGACAAAGGAGCCATAGAAGAATCTAAATATTGTTTTTGTCTCCAAAATATCTTCTCCAGAATATGTTTTCCTAAGTTGAAGTGAAATCCTGTATAAGTCCAATGGTGAGAGTGTAGAGAAAACAATCTCCACTTATTTAATTTGAAAAATGATCCTGCGGTCCTGGAAGGAACCTCCACCTTGGAAACTGAGCATGTGGTTTAGAGTTTTACCTTTCCTGTAACAAGATCCCTCACTTCTAGCAAGTCATGGGCTTCTTGGAGTCAGTCCTCTGAGAAACAGGATCATACTGTACCTAGCCAGTTATCAAGGATGCAGCAATTTTCATGTTGATGCTTACAAAATTATTTTTACACTTAATTAGTAAGATCCTTCAAGTTAAATTTTGGGTCTTTTTTTCCCTAAGCCAGAAATAACTGTAAGTTCACATTGAAACGTGTTAATAGCTGGGGTGACGTAATCTCAAAATAGTGATGTATGCCTTTTTAGACAAGCAGCATCTGCTCCATAATGTTTTTCTTTTGGCCTTTTTGGGAACAGTGTTTTAATTTTAAAGTCAGTGTTAGCAGGTACAGGTTGACAAATGGCTTATCCTGATAAATAGAAATAACTAACAAAATGAGCTTGGTTTCTCCATTGGTGCATTCATATCACTGAAAGATCTGTTTCTATCACTCAAGAGAATCCTTTATCTGTTATTTCCATTTATAGAATACCCATATTCCTCTCATTCACTCAGAATCTTTCAAGTCATGATTGTTCAATATTTACTTCAAGTATTGGCTGCATTTTGATTAATACATCACTCCTTAACTTTGGAGAGTTTCTTTTTTAAAACCCCATTTTTCCTTTAAGGGATAGGCTATTGAGTTATCACATTTTGACATAAAAGTAGGTAAATTTTTATGTGAATACCTTAGAAGTTTCTATTTGTATCCTAACTCATAAATGAAGATTGGCAAAGATAATTTTCCTGTTCTCAATACTGAGGAAAAGGGTCTTAATCTTTGGAAGCTGACTATTACAACCAGGCCTGGTGGTGCATGCCTGTTATTTTGGCACTCTGGGAGGCTGAGGCCGGAGGATCAAAACTGCAAGCAATTTAGAGATCTTGTGAAAGCTGGTCTCAAAATAATAAATAAGTGAATAAGGGTGTCTGAACCGGTACAGCCCCTGCACCCAATCCCAGGACCACGTGAAACAGAACAGAGAAATGGACTGACGCCCCCTGTATGTCTGGCTGTTTCTTCCACAGCCACACCCCTGAGCTCACTTAAAGCCCCGCGGGTGGACGCCGCACCAGTGGTCGAATCTCCTTATCAAAGAAGAGACTCCGACAGGTACTGTGGGCTCTGCGCTGCCTGGTTCAACAACCCTCTGATGGCCCAGCAGCATTATGATGGCAAGAAACACAAAAAGAATGCGGCCAGGGTGGCTCTGCTGGAACAACTGGGGACGAGCCTGGACATGGGGGAACTGCGAGGTGAGTGCCCTGCTCTGACTGTGTGCAGACCACCTCTGGGAAAGGCGTGCACTTTCACAAGTGGGATGATGATTGCTCTTGTTTCAATTATTAAGGAAAACATGAGATCTCTCCAAAAAAAAGGAAGGAAAAGAAAATAAGTAGCCAGCTAGTTTTAGCTTGAGTTTTATTATCAGTCCCCTTCTTTGCAGAGCGTTTGTTTCCGAAGTTTCGTTGGCTGTGTTGACCGTGCTGCATGGCAACATACGGTCACCACCTGCCTGATCCCTTCCTGGACAGGTCCTTCTAGCTGCTGCAGCATTTGAGTTTGCATGAGGCATAATCGAGGCCACTGAGCAGACTTGGAAACTGGAGGCTGACAGCTAGGCCTGTGGATATGTTAGGGAATTAGAACCAACTTGTGGGACTTAGAATATTCCATCATCAGCAACCAGTTAAGCCTATTTTGATCACCAAGTTGTTTTTGATCATCTTGAAATTAGCAGTGTAGATGTAAAACAAAATTGCATACTATGTTTTAAAACATAGTTGCAAAGAAAAATAATTGTGCACTTTATATTTTGTGTTACTCATCTAAGAGAAACCATGTGATATTTAAGCATGTTTGTCTGATTTATTTCACCTGACATTATTGTCTCAAGGTGCCTCAATTTTCATAATAGGCAGCAGGAAAATACATTTTGACAATGGGAAGGGGACCAAGAAATGAAGAGAGTGGGAGGGAGAGGATGGGGAGGGCAGCAAAAGGGTTGAGATGCGCTGCCTGCCTGTACCGGCTGTCCTCCAAGGATGTGCCGCGATGACTGCAAACGTGGGCTAATCAAACATTTCAAAAAGAGCAGCAGTTGTTCAAAGGATGCTGTCGATCCAGTACCTCAGATTTGGTACCTAATTGTGGGTTTTTCGGGGGACTGTCATTCATAATGGCTGTAGGTTACAAAGGACCACAATTACAAATCAGTTATGGGAATGCAACCCTGACTGTGTTTCACACACTGAACCTGTGAATCTTATTACACTGATCTGGCTGTGGATTCTAAGAGGGCTAATTATAACAGAAAATGACCTGGTATGTCTTTTGACTGTGTTAGGTGGATGAATGATTTTACTGCATGATTTGGGAGGAGAGACATGTCACTTCCAAATATATTGATTGCAAAAGATTTGAGCAAGGCAAAAGAGCTGGATTTAGAAATGTGTGTGGCATTCCGCGTGAGCAGAGTCATGAATGAGCCAGCAAAGGGCAAGCAGCAGATAACTCCGATCATCGAGGAAGAGTCCTATTCTACACGTGGACTCAACGGTCCAGGTCCAGGGCTGTGTGCAAGAGCATGATTAGAGACTGCTTTTTCCACAATAAGTAACAAAGAGCAAAAATAGAAAGCCCTTTATTTTTGGGTATGTTTTCTACCTATAGAAAACATACAGGTGTGACATTTTAGTATATCAAGTAGACTCGCTGTAGGAGGTGTTGAACCATTGATACTGTTGCTGTTTGGGGGGAATTTCTTACCTTCTCAGTCAATGTCTTGTTAAAGATACAAGACCAGTCTGCATAGCCCACAGCTGGCCCCCAACTCTGTAGCTTCTGACAGATAACAAGTTGGCTCAGCGACTCCTTCCAAGCAGAGCACTGAGGGAGAAAAACAGGGTTTTATTTATGCTTTGTGCAAGATATTATGACCTGAGGAAGAATTATTCCTACAGCACATGGTTCTTGTCTATTTTGAAATATCTGTGCTGCATTTTTTATGTACAACCACATCATAATGACTTGGGCATCTGAATTCTATAACTTTAAGCAGCTTGTCTTTTACACAGAAGACAAAAAGGCTGCTCTTTGACTTGATAACTCAATATGAATATGACTCAGTAGCACGTGGAATGTGATTAGCATTGAACACAGTGTCCTTGGATCCAGCCTTTCTCCCACTCCAGATGATGTCCTGAGACATTTCTACTGCATTATTAAATATTGCAGTGGCTTGAGGAATAAAGCAAGTATGGTAAGCTGAATCTTCTTAAGACACACACACATGCATGCATACATACACTCACACATACACACACGCATGCACACATGTGCACATGCATTTCTGGAATGCTTTTAGCATACAGTACATCAATTAAGAAAGTCCAAAGTGCTAGTCTGTGAATACAGGCATGTCCATAACTTTTAAAAGTTGCTGTCAGGTGATGGATGGAAAATGAAATGGCAGTGTCCTTCCAGGGGAAGTGTTCTCTTCCTTTCTCTTATGGCACTTTTCACATTTTTAAATATTCCAGTATTGAATCATTTTTATGCTTTGCATGATTTTGTGTATGTTTCCCTACTCTTCCCTCAGTAGGTGGTTGGCATCTTGAAAGCAAGTGTCTGTTTTGCTGATTGGCTTGAGGATTCAGCACTCCTAAATTAGTGGCAGGCATGTGGTAGATATTCAGAATTGCTAACTGAATAAACAGAAAGATAAAATCAACCTCAGACCATGTATATTCTTGTATCCTTAACATGGTGCTGTGGTGTGTGGTTCCAAGCATCCACTGACTGTAAACCCCTGACCATGCTAGGGGTTTACAGTGCTTGACCACTGAGCTATCTTTCCAGCCAACACATTGATTATTTCCAAAAGAATTCTGATTGAATATCTTTTACATAAATTTATGATTCTTTTCTTCTAATTTTGAAAAATATTGTATATTTTAAATACAGTAAAAGGCAGAACATTTAGAGTTATATTTTGATGAATTTAGACAGTGGAAACAGTAGTATAGTCATACTCATTAAAAAAAACTAAGTGATGATTCATAGCTGACTCTACAAGAACTTTAGGGAAGATGCAACACCAATGTTCCCCAAATTCTAGTGAAATTGTGGGAAAAGAAGTACTTCCAAACTCATTCCTGGAAACGAACTTCACTCTGATTCCAAAACCAGATAAGGATAAAAAAAAAAAAAAACAAAACACTACAGGTCAGTCTCTTTAATGAAAATATATGCAAAATTTCTCAGTAGAATAGTGGCAAATAGAATGAAACAAATCATCAAAAGACTCATACATCATGACCAGAGAGATTTCATCCTGGGTATACAGGGTTGGTCTGAATATACACATAAATAAATGTAATACATCATACAGACAGCAGCCAGGACAAAAATCCCACAATCATATCAATAGATGCACAAGAAACTTTGACAAAATCCAACATCTATTCTTGGTTAAAAACCCAGAAGAAAATAATTATAGAAGGATGTTACTTCAATCTGAAAAAGGCCATTTTTTTGACAAATCTATGGCCAACATGGTATTAATAGGGAAAAGGTGAAAGCCTTCTCTCTAAAGTCAGGAAGAAGACAGGATGCCCACCATCGCCATTTCTGTTTGATGTACCACTCAAAACATTAACCCGAACAATCAGGTAAGAGAAAGAAATAAATAAGTTATGGATACGGAAGGAAAATTTAAATTATTATTACTTGCAAATAACATTAACTTTTACATAGGAGATCCAAAAATCTTCACAAAAGGGTGCTACAATGAATAATTAAATTTAGCAGTGTAGCAGCATATAAAGTCAACACACAAAAGGTCATAGTGTTCCTGTACACCAGTAATGAACTGAGGAAGAAATTAGAACACAGGGGCTGGGGATTTAGCTTAGCGGCATAAGCACCTTCCTTGCAAGTGCACAGTCATGAGTTCGATCCCTGGTACCAATTAAAAAAAAAAAAAGAAATTAGAACACAGTAACATTTACAATGGTATCAAGAATAGTTAGATACTTAGGAATTAACTTACTCAAAGAAGTGAAAGGCCTCTGCAATGAAAACTATAGAACTGTCAAAAATAGGTCAAAAAGGATATCAAAACCAGTATTGTGGAAATGACCATGTTCTCAAAACTGATACAAAGATTTGATGTAATCTCAAGAAAAATATTGACAACATTCCTCATAAACTAGAGAGAATAATCCTAAAATTCAGTGCCACCGGAAGAGACCCAGAAGAACTCTCCTAGCTGAGCAAAACAGGAGGTGTAATGATACCAAACTTGAAGTTATTTTACAAAGCCACAGTGATAAAAATAGCACAGACACAAAAGCAGACATGTAGACCAGTGAAAGAGAATAAGGGGATGGAAAATTCTCAACATTGTCAGCACTTGATCTTTGACAAATGGGCCAGAAACACGATGGAGGAAAGACAGCCTCTTTAGCAAATAATGCTGGGGAAACTGGCCCTACACATGGAGAAGACAAAGTCAGACACATGTTTCTCACCATGTACTACACTAAAATTCAAATGGATCAAAGATCTACATACTGAAACAGAAATACGTAACCAACTAGAAGGTAAAGTAGGTAAAATTCTAGAGGTCATGGGCTTAGGCAAGGACTTCTGAGCAGAATCTCAAATGCATAAGAAATAATATCAAGAGTCAATAAATGAGATTATGAGGTATGTCAGACTGAAAAGCTTCTGCCCAGTAAGGGAAGAAAGAACCTTTACCAGCAAGGTGAAGAGACAACCTACTCTGTAGGCAAAGTGTTTAGCCAGCCATGCGTTGGACAGAGGATTAATTTCTGCAGTATATGAAGAACTAAAAAATTTAGACCTCTCAAAATGAAAGACTCAGTCCAAAGGAAGGCAACTAAAATAACTGGGCACTTCACAGAATCATAAATGCTAAGACCCACAAATACATAAAAATATGTTCAGCGTCATTGACCATTAAGAAGTGAAAATTCAAATGACACTGAGAGTCCATCTCCAAAAAGAGCAATCATCGTGAATAATAATAACAAATGCTGGATAAGCTGTGAGGGAGGGGGAAGGAAACTTTCTACTTGTTGGTAGGAATGTAAACCACTATGAAAATAAATACAGAGATTCCTCAAAACTAAGAATAGAAATTACATTTGACCCAAATATCCTTTAAGAGTTAAATAATTATATTGCAGTGATGCTTGCATACTAATATGTATGGCAGCACAATTCATAA